TCATGCAATCTAACCTACCTCTATCATTCCAACATTTATTTAATTGTTTTGTAAAAGGAACAGGAATATGAGCCGCAGTGGTTAGAGTGCAGTACCGCAGGCTATTTCTGTTGACTGCCTGCAATTTGGCAGTTCAAGTCTCACCTGCTCAAGGTTGACTCAGCCTTCCATTCTTCCGAGGTGGGTAAAATGAGGACCCAAAATTGTTTGTGGGCAATATACTGACTCTGTAAACCGCTTACAGAGGGTTGTAAAGCACTGTGAAACGGTATAGCAGTCTAAGTGCTATTGCTAATATTATTTATTTACAAGCCTACTTTCTCAGATGACTAATTCTTCATTAGATGAACAAATTACATGCTCTATTACAAACTCCACATAATTAGCAATGCTGTTTAAAACAAAGAGACTCAAACACAAACTGCAGGCAGGCAAGTAAGGTACAGTGCTTAGTTAATGGACTTTTGGCCTGGCTCAATATAGTTACGGTCACTCTTCTAAATAAAGTGCATGGACATTAAAGAAATGTCAGCCTCACGTAACTTACATTGTTGCTCCATGTTCCTCATTTCTTCTGGGGGTATTTTCAGTTTATCAATATGTTCCCGCAAGACACTTGCCCATTTTTGTAAGGATTCCAGAATAGTCCATGGCCTAGACATATCTGCCACAAAGATTACGAGAGTCTCCTGCAATGATTCTGCTGTCACAGCAAACTTCAAGAGACCTTTGTGATACAAATCACCATCAAGAATCCAAACATTACAGCGGGTTTGATCTGCAAAGGAGACAATTCCTTTTAAGTAGGAAATTCTTCTCACATTAAAAGATATAGCATCCATTAACATACTTGGCACTGACTGAATGTAGGCATTCTAAAGTACACACAGCCAGCACTAAATATAGCACAACTTTGCTGCAAGGGAGACTACAAACAAGAAGTCAGCATCAGAGAGGTAGAGAAAGAGGAGAGAAGCAGAGACTGATTAAGTACAAGAATGTGCAGCTATTTCAGACATTCTTACCTAAAAATACTAGGATGGTCTTTCCAAATTGGCTGGATAAATCTGGATAAAGCTTCTGGTTTCAGCTGCTTCATCTTTGAGTTTATTGCTACAATTTGTATCACTCAGCTCCACACTAATGTTCAGAAGTTCCATGAGCATTTCACCAGTGTCTGTATTTTTCCTAATTCATAACTTTTGCAAGAAACGTTTCTTAAATGTTGTGCCTTTTACCTGAATAGCATGTGTATTTAGAGGCAGACATCTCTGTGTTTGTATTTATAGTTTATGACTAGAGGACTGCATCACAAAATTCACAAAACCACAACCATGTATGCATAATTACCCTTTAATTTAATATTTTGGGAAATTAAATTAGATCTGTTTGTGTTTATTGTGGTCACAGAAGACAAGGATGATCCAGAGTGCACCAGATTTGGAAATGCTGCACTACTCAGCATTTTTCAGAGGTGAGTTCTGAGGACAAGCTTAGAAAAAGTAGGGCAGCTGAAGCATTCTGACGAGCAATTTTAAATGCACAGGGCAGAAAGGACAAAAGGATCAAGTAATTCTGAAAGCAGTGAAGCTGGATGAGTGAATGTCAAAAAAAAAGCTTTCAGGTTGTACGAACGGAGCAACAAGTGGGCCAGGAGAATGACTGTGGAGGATTCTGAAAAATGTATACAGGATAGAGAAATGGACAGAAACCACACTTAAATAAAAAGTGGAGGTGGTGCGTTTCACAAAAAAAAATGCTAAAAGAGATGATGAAGCAGAATGTACTAAATGTGGTAACAAATAAGGGCCATTTTTTGTGGTGGGAATAGCATATTTTGCTAAATTGCCTGAATGTAGGCATCAAAGGAAAGAGAATGAACAAGACATAAAAAGAAAGTAAAAAGAATAAAGACACTTAAACTTCTGACAGTAACATCTTTGAGGTAAGCTGACCTTGAACTTTAGGCAAAAAAAAAAAGACAGGTAAAACAAAGACTTTACCATCTCTATCTTCATCATGGACATTTAGGTATAGATATTCCAGCCCTCTTCCTTTCTTGCCATGCTCTACTCCTTGGATTTTAGTCAGCAGGGTTGTTTTACCAGAGCCATCATCACCTGCCAGTATGTTTGCAAGGAAGAGAAGAAATAGGAAGATAATCATATCATGCCTTAGAATTGACAAGTTGTATGTACCTTTACAGAGCCAAGAGCCAAGGTGGTGCAGTGGTTAAATGCAGCACTGCAGGCTACT